GGTACAGATTGTAAAGCATAAAAGGATTCGAGTTTACCCCATATTGCAGTCGAAGTTTCATACCCGTCTACTTTCCGCAGGACACCGTCGGAGAGATTCATAATGATCAGGTTCTACGCTTCCTCCTCAAAATCTACTTTCTTTTTCAATTTCTCCTCTGACTATTTGGTTTCATCTTTCTCCAATTCGATGGCTACCTTATTATGTGATAATAAGGCTTTCATTTTTTTCTTCCAACCGTTGAAATCAATTTTTCCATCGAATTGGGTGATTTCAACTCGTGTAGTAGTCATAGTGTTTCGATTTAGGGTTGGTGTTTAGATTTAGGGTTGACACAGAAGAAACCCTAATCTGTTTAGGATTGAATTGGAGTCAATTACAAGAAATTGATAGGACAATCTATGGTTTTCCTAGCCCTAGGATCCTAATTTGACTGATTTTCAAGAAATCCCCAATTTGTATAACCCTAGGTTACATGAACAATCAAGACAGACCAAGAAAACCTAATACTTGCTCTGATACCACTGTCAATCTTTAATCAAACACAAACCTAACCCTGTTCATCTATCAAACACAAACAACACACAAATCCACTACACAAATCAACCAAGAACAAGAAAAACACAAAGAAGACAACCAAGATTTACTGTGGTTCGTTTATTCCAATGGAATAAACTACATCCACGTTAAGCTCAAAGTAATTTGAGACTTTCTGCACTATAAGGATTGAATTTGTTATAGATTACAACAAGAAATCTCAATAACCCCCAAATCTCTCCTCTCACACAACCCCTCAATCTAGCAGTAATCAACACAACCAAGACAACTTAAACAATCATCTAGACCAGAAGAATATACAACTTCTTCTACCCACAATTCTAACAAAAATTACGACCTGATTACAGCTTGAAGGAATCAATACTAAGCACCCAGCACTGACAAAAACATGAGAGAGAGAGAGAGAGAGAGAGAGAGAGAGAGTGAGTTTCCAATCTAATTTCTACAGTGAATTTTAGCTTTAAATAGGTTGACCATCTTGGCTAATTTCCACCGTTGGATTAAGCTGAGATTAATGGCTGAGATCTATCACTTAACACCTTCTTAAAACGTCAACGTATTGGAGCTTCACTTAACAGTTTATAAGTACAAAAATCTATAAGAAACTTTAAACATGTTTAGGGTTACAGATTAGGGGAAAACAATCATCCTTAAACTTGCTTCACCTATAAAATCTAACGTTAACATTTCTTTCCATTTCCTCACACTAATATAACTTAATGAGTTAATAAATAATGTAAATATTTTGAACTTACATACGAATTGAAGTTGTAATAATGCTTCACTAAGTGATAATTCTCTCTTTGTGTAGGAAAATTATAACTGAAGAGATCAAGCCATCTAATGATCTAAAACCGAACCCAGCATCGAGTGCATTGCGCCATACAATCTCCTTTACAGTCAACATTATAACCTAAGACTTTTGGATTTCGCAAAAGAAGGTTCCGTAAAGTTTTTCCTTCGATTTTCCAATTTTTCCAGGATCTGCACATTGTTCTTCAACTCATGTTCCATACCACATCCAAGAACTTGAGGATAGTTTTTAAGCAGTTTACGGATATCATCATCCGTGAGGCTTCGGTTCCTCAGATAATCTAATATTTCATTTACAGTTTCACACTTACGGTTAATGGATATGGCCAAATGCTTTTCCAAGTATCTTGTCTTCCTCCTCAACGCCAAAATCAAACACAGACGGAGGTTTTCTGCATGCTTCCCATTTTTTCCTCTCTCCATCGCTTAAAGTTATACTTCCGGCTTGTGTGGTTGAATATATCACCCATTTCTTATGATAAGTTTTGGAGCTACGCACCCCAAAGAAATGTTTTGGTGGGAGTCCGCTGGACAAGTTCACGTTCGAGAGAGCATTATTTGGGAAAACTGTAGCAATATCAGGCTGCAAGTAGATCAAGTGAGATCAATTTTCATATTTACAAGCTAAAATAAGTACTTAATTCATGAGACAACACTGCTCACTTCAAGCCACCAATTAAATAGGATGATTTACGCCTTGCGTAAACCTTTTTCAAATGAAAAGGTCAATAAACTGAATACCCATTAAGAAAATTGGAACTAATTATTGTAAAAAGGAAAAGAAAAAGAGAGAGAATTACTGAGAATCAATACAGAGAAATTAAAATGACTTCTACTACAATAATTAGAAGCAAAACCAAAAATTTATTTTAAAAAAAAAAAAAAAACGCAGCAATTAAAAGGAAATTGAGAAAACAATAACAAATTACTTAAACAACAACTAATCAAGCATAGTTTTGTTAATATAAAATTAGTTAGATAAGTAATTGTATTTACCCCCTGGGGTTTAGGTTACCCCCTGGGGTTTAGGTCTACTGTCTGAGTCCTATAAACAGTAGCAATTTTTTATATTTGTTTATTATATCGTTATTCAGTAAATATTTGCCTATTTGGACACTATCAAAATGAGGGGTATTCTAATTTTTAAACAGAAAAAATCATCCCAATTAGCAGAATATGTACACATTTGTTAAATTCAAAGGGGATGGTGGATGATGATTATGACGGTGGTGGTGTTGGTATGGGGTTTGTGTATTTGGTTATTATGTTGGTTTTGATTTTGAGATTATTCTTTATTTGGGTTTCTTTCTATTTAATTTGAAGTGTTTGAGGGATGGGGAATGATGATGGTGGTTGAAATGGCGGTTGATAGCAGTAGTGAGTGATGGTGTTGAAAGCTTGAAATCGAATGGTGTTCTTGGAGTATGTTGGGGACAAGGTGGGGGTTGTTTGGTTGGTAGGATAGGGGCTGTTTGGTGAATAGATGAGAAGCTGTTTGGTGGGTTGGATAAATGTTGTTTGGGTGAAAGCGGTATGATTGTAAAAAATGAAAAATATATAAATTGTAAGGGCTTAATTGTAAAAATTGAAAACTAAAGTGAACAGTATGGACACCCACGCGTCCACCCGTACCCGTATAGGGTAGGGTACGAATCTAATATTTTGAACCCGTTTAAATCGACCCGTTTTAGACCCATACCTGTTTATACCCGACCCGTACTCAACCCACCCGCCCGTTTTGCCAGATCTATTGGTAGATTGTTACATACTTTAGTTTAAATGAGCATATTAGTGTAATGGGATATGTTTATAATCCTTTAGAATATATAGTTGTTACTCATATGGGGTGTATTTTGTAAAGGTTAAAACAGCCAAGTATAAATTGGTCGCCTTCTTGTAACTAATTCAGTTAATCAGACAGACATTTTTCAGCTCGTCTTCATTCTTCCTCTCTTGCTCTTAAAGTCATTCAATGTGCAACCCTTTTTTTTTTTTTTTTTTAATCTCACAGTTTTAGATATAAAAGATTTTGATTAAATTTTTGTCTTTTAATATTAGTCAGTATTAGTCGACATTAGTTCAACGTCAATTATTATTGATAAACAAGGTCCGTATTTTAAAAATATGTTGATGTTTGCACATGAGACAGATTTTATAAACCCTAGGAATATCCTTATTTTGGAATCATAGATCATTGAAATTATCATGTGCGGACTATTCGCTTTTTTATTTATTTTATTTTATTATCATTATTATTTTTTTTATTTTTTATTTTAAAATACAAACATTAGGGTTTGTTTTGCAGTTCTGGTATTGTAATTTTTCCCCTTTAATTTTTATGTAATAAATAAGATTGATATATGATTCACAGATTCAATGTTTTGATTGTTTTATTAAAAAAAAAAAATTACCCTTAATTTATTTTAAGTTTATACTTATGATTTAGTGTTAAATAAAAGTTTTTTATTGTATTATAAGATATAGATTATATGGAATAATTGCAAATTATTTGATAAATTAAGACGAGAGATATTTTTTTGAACTTGTTTGTTTAGTGAGAAAGTGAGAGAAAGAATTCTGTAGAGAAAACATGGGGAAGAAATTGGAAATCTATCAAGCAATAGTGATTAATAATAAAATTTTAATTCTCAATTGCTAAAACTATTAAATTTTCATACTTAACAATATATATATAATAGTACTCATATTTCATACTGTTACGCCTGAAAAAGTAGGGCTAACGTAAAGTCTTGTCAGCATGGGATGGTTAGAACTTGGGAAAGTTCTGCGACCGTTCAGACACACCCACGTCGCATAATAACATAAGTGGTATGCCCTCGTTAGTGCAGTGGGTGAGTGTCAGGTTAGCGGATGGTTGGAAACCGTCCACGTGTCCAATCTCTGCATAAGTCGAGGAAATCACTCGGGCAAGTGAGCAATGAGACGTAGAGAATGATTTGCACGGTATCCGTCCACTTGCAAATTTAGTAATGATTACCTTGGTTTATCCCACTATAAATAGATGTTTTCTCTCTCATTTGCCGGATTAGTTAATGTCACTCTAGAATAGCCTATTCTCTCTCTCTCTCTCTCTCTCTATCTCTCTTGTATTCTCTAAGCTGTAACTCAGCTCGCTTAACGTGACCTAACCTTACTCATTAATACAATATCAATGGACGTAGGATTCGCTTTTGAGCATTCGAACCATTTTAAACATTGCTTTTCACCCTTTATTTAACTAAATATTATCATATCGCGTGTGTCTTTTAAGTCCGCTTAGCATTTTCCACATACGAATAGTTGGTGTCAAAATCAAGCATCAACACATACCAAATTAAAATGGTTTAAACATCAAACTAGCTAAGAGACCAACTACAGAGAATTTGTGAAGAAGAGGACATACATAAATTATCAAGCTCTCCTAACCTTATTTTTCTACTAAAATTTTTTATACAAATCTAATGGGGTTGGGATCTTTTCACTTAAATTTTATACTTAAAAAGTTCGATTCAAAGATACAGAAAACTGATCATGAGTTTCAACTTATGAGTAAATTACTAGATCAAGATGAACGAATGGAGATTTAAATTAAAAGATCATGTCCCCTTCATAATTTTTTCAGAATTTAACTAAGGGCACTTAAGCCTGCCACCATGAGTGGTCATGGTGGCATAGCAAGGGCAGACATTAGTGTTTCCAGAAGTTCCAGGAGGCACACAATTGCATCTTTTACAGCAAGTGTTGCAAGCCCTTATGCACATTTTATGCCTCGAAGCTTTGCTGCATCTGTAATCGCATTTTGATGTGCAGTCTGAAAATAAAACAAAATATTTCACTGGGTCAAAAATCCTCATAATTATGTTTGATTAATTATTATTAATTATATACTTTGAGTAACCCTTTTCTGAGTACACAAAATCAAATGAATTAAAAACTCGTTTAAGGTTATTGGTAGAAAATTGAATCGATCTCTAAACCTCTTATGCGTTGTATAAATTTGTATCTAGTAATTAACTTTGTTTTTCCTCATTATATAAACTAGTTATGTGTCTTTTCTTTCCTGTTAATATTACATACTTGGTGTAACCCTATTTTAAGAACAAAAAATAGAATAAATTAAATGCCGATTTAGGGTTAATTGATACAAAAATCGGATTGATATCTAAAAGTCTTATGCGTTTGTATAATTTTGCATCTAGTTATTAGTTTTTTTTTTTTTTTTTTCACATTAATAGACTTGGTTATATGCTCTTTTTTTAATTTATTATTACACACCTCATGTAACCCAATTTCCATTAACATAAAGATGGAATAAATTGAATACCGTTTATATAAAATTAATCGGTGTAAAGGTCCATTACTTTGTTAAGCACTTCCTTCTTGAGCCGTTTAAGTCGAGAAAAATAAAAATAATTATAGTAAAAAGGAAAAGAAAACAAAAAGTATCCAATATAAGTCATTAACTTTTTATCATCCATCCATCTAATAGCTAGACTAATAAGATAATACTTCATTAGCAAAAATGGATTTTTGATAATTAGATATACACACACAAAAATAATTATTGTGGCAATACCTATTTTTTCAGCTTCAACCATATGCATCTCCAGCTGCACATTTTTGGTCAAAAAAAAAAAAAAAAAGAGAATTACTGAGAAGTAATACAGAGAAATTCAAATGACTTCCGCTACAATATTTAAAGGCAAAACCAAAAAGTTATAGAAACTCAGAAAATTAAAAAGAAATTGAATAACAAATTAAAACAATTGTTACAATTACTATATCATAGTTTTGTTAATATATAATTAGTTAGATTAATCTTGAAGATAATTTCAATCTCAATCCATGATCAGCAATTGGGGGAAGAACCATTAGTTTTTTTAAAAAAATAAAATAACTACACAAATAGATAATTGAAATGAATAAATTAATTAATATTCATAAAAACACTTACCTCTTGTACTAAAACAAAGCAAAAGATTATCAAAACAAGAGTTGTTTTGGAGCTAAACATTTGCAATTTTCTTGGGAAAATGAGCAAGAAAATTTTAGTTGTTAAAAGAGAGAGAGAGAGAGAGATTTTGGGTTGTAATTTTTCAATTTGAAGTACCCTAACATATATACTTATTTAAGTGATAGCTTGAATTAATGTATGAGAGTTTTGATGCAATGTTCAACAAACTTCTCAATTCAAACTCGACTTTTTTGCAAAGTTTTAGGGCTGATTAATGATTAGATTATAAATGGGATTTAGCACCAATATTATCTGTAATGATTAGAGATAGTGATGTGTTCAACTATTGTCACATTATATGGTTTATCATCCATGACTTTTGGGTGATTATTGGCCACGTATTGTTTCTTGATAATGTTGATTGACTTAAGTAAAGTTGATTGACATCTTTTAAGTTGACATATCTGGTATACCTAAAAAAAAATCTAGGTTAATGCAAGCTTACATCCACGAGTATAAATTAGTGTTTAAAAGGGTTTTGTGTTATCTAGAATCTGTCACATCGCCCCAAAACAGAAAGATATAGTTGTTACCAACCTAGCTTATTCAAGTTTTGTCTGTGAATGAATTTGGTTCGCACACCTCTCCAAACCTCATATAATTTAAGGATATTTCTTAAGTTATCAACTAATGAGACGTAAGGAAGGACTTAGCCGACACCCACCCACTTGCAGACTTGTAAACATTACCTTGAACTTAGCAGCTATAATAGATGACTTCTCCTCACAAAATCGGGATTAGACTCTCTGAATTTATAAAAACAAATAGCAAAAACAACCTACGAGAAAGAGACTAGCTTAATATTCTCTCTGAATACCAAGCTCTTATAATTATGTTCATTGTTCGCAATCTCTTGTAACCTTGGTTAATCACCAAGAGCACTCATATAAAAGATAACAGTAGATGTAGGAATCGCTTTAAGCATCCAAACTATTAAAATTCTCTTCGTCTCATTTATTATTAAGTCTTTGCATATTCTCTTTGTCTTATTTATTATTAAGTCTTTGCATGTTACCATGACCTTTAATCAAATCTTATAATCAATACGTATAATTTCTAAGACCCTCTTAACACTTTTGCGTGTACGAGATCGTTAGTATCCAAATTACACATCAACAATATCAAGGGTTAAAAAATAGTGGAAAACAGTCACCCTTAAACTAGCTTCACCTATACAATCTAATGTCGACATTTCTTTCCATTTCTTTACACTAATATAACATAATAGAGTTAATAAATAATGTAAATATTTTGAACTTAAATATGAATTAAAGTTGTAATCATGCTTCACTAAGTGATAACTCTCTCTTTGTGTAGAAAATTATAATTGAATAAATCAAGGCATCTAATGATCTAAAACCGAACCCAACATCGAGTGCATTGTGCCATACAATCCCCTTTACAGTCAACATTATAGCCTAAGACTTTTGGATTTCGCAAAAGAAGGTTCCGTAATGTTTTTCCTTCGATCCCCCAATCTTTTTCCAGGATCTGCACATTGTTCTTCAACTCATGTTCCAAATTACATCCAAGAACTTCAGGAAATTTTTTAAGCAGTTTACGGATATCATCATCCATGAGGCTTAGGTTTCTCAGATAATCTAATATTTCGTTAACAGTTTCACACTCGGGGATTTCTCTTTTGCGTTCTTCACTCCAGTACGGTGAATGGATATGGCCAAATGCTTTTCCAAGTATCTTGTCTTCCTCTTCAATGCCAAAATCAAACACAGACAGAGGTTTTCTACATGCTTCCCATTTCTTCCTCTCTCCATCGCTTAAAGTTATACTTCCGACTTGTGTGGTTGAATATATCACCCATTTCTTTTGATAAGTTTTGGAGCTACGCATCCCAAAGAAAAGATTTGGTGGGACTCCACTGGACAAGTTCACGATCGAGAGAGCATTATTTGGGAAAACTGTAGCAATATCAGGCTGCAAGTAGAACAAGTGAGATCAATTTTCATATTTACAAGGTAAAATAAGTACTGAATTCAATGAGACAACACTGCTCACTTCAAGCCACCAAATAGAATGATTTATAAATAACTAGGAATTATTGAGAAACACAGAATAACTTAAAAAAACACCCTAGCTAAATCTTTGCAAGCATATCCAACTACTTTTGAATGTCAGAAGTGTAAATCCCTGATGTTAAATTTATCAGATGAATGTGGTCCTTCTCAAATACATATTTGATCACAGCTTTTGACATTTCCAGTCTCATAAAATTTGTTATTTCAAAAATTTCCCATCAGTTCAAATCAATAAAAATTGCCTAAACGCAAAGGAAAGCTGAAGCCTAAAAGTTATGAACACCTTACAACATTTCTGATTTCATTTCCAGGTCTTGGTTATTATTCATGCCCTGCCATACAATTCCCTTTACACTCAACATTATAGTCTAACAATACATAGTACCCATCTGACATGAATAAAGAGCACTTGAGCATAAAATATATTCGAGAGCATAGCACTTTAACAAAGAAATGTTATAGAGCACAAGTGAATTAACAGAGAACTTCAAAAATAACTTTTGTGAACACTGAAAGACCAGTCAACAACTTTAAACTAACCTGTTACATATAGTGAATAGAGTTATTTATCATGGAGTGATGTAATTTCAACTTAATATTTCATCTTTGGTTCTTAATGTAAAAGCAGGATATGGCAGAACTGACTTCATTTTTCATAGTAAAAATAAGATAAGAACCAATTCTGATTTGGAGTAGGATTATGTGTTTCCATGAACTAGAAAAACCGTAAAAAGGATGTCAATTATAATTTCCATTAACTCTAATTGGGATCAGGTGTGAAAGAATGCTTACAGTGGAAAAACAGTGTGATACAGAATGAAAGGTGAACAGAGGAGAAGCTAACAACTTTCCTAACATTCCTGCACTATCAATGACAAAAACGGTGAGCAGGGGTAAAAGATTTCCACTAATAACATATTCCAAAAACTCCCCAACTATTAAAATTAGCTACATGAATTTGAGCTAGAATTTTGAATTTTCCTTTCTAAAGTCTTGTTAAGATCTTCGGTTGCTGAAAATTTAAAGTTATTGCATAGAAAAAGCTTACATGAATTCTTTTTAAATTTCATAAGATCAAAATCATGCATGCAAAGCAGAAGTAAACTGCCTATTTATTGTCAATTATTATCATCTTTTTTCATTAAAGATATGACAAAGAAGAACATTATTCATGATCATCAACCAGAACGATATAAATGAAGTACTATTCATAACTTAGAACTGCTGACATTAAAACCCTTCACTAAACACAGGGAAGCTCAGTTAATTTACATAGAAGAAAGAATAACATAACAAGAGCGGACTTCATTGTTGTCGTCACCAATTTTCAAGTAAAAGCTTCTGAAGACATGAAATGAAAAGATAGGCAGCGATAATCCCAGCAGTAAGAAATTATTAAAGGCTGTACCATATCATAATTTGAACCTGACTTCAAATTAGACATTATATAGAACTTCTAACATATTGGAATCCATTTAAAATCCTGTATTGAGGAAAAATCTACACTAACAAGTTATAAAAATGAGGTCAACAAGTGTTACATGCTTTAAGTTTTATTACTAACAGAACACCTTAACTTAAGTGGAAGAAATAAAAGAGCCCCCAGCCTCGTAGTCTGACTTGAGAAGAAGAAAAGTCTTTCTCTAGTTTTCTTAATCACACATGTATTGACTGAAGGTGATAAAAAGAGGTGGAATCTCGTATGAAATCAAACTTGGTTAAAGCGATTATTCATATTTCCATCTCTTATACCTCACACAAGTGTACAATGCAACAAGTTCCAATTTATCAACAAAGAAAACTTCTTGATACAAGACATGTATCTTTATTCAAGAAACTTGACCACAACAACATAGTGATAGATTTATGTCTACACCAGAAATGAAAAAATCAAATTCAACAGCAGCTAATGCACTAAAAGTATTTATTAGACCTAAAAATTATAACTAATAAATGGAGCAACAACACCCCACTTATAGCATTTAACAACTTGAAAAGATATTCCATTAAGTACCAAGAACTAAATCCCAAAAAGGTTTAAAATTTAGCCTCTTAGCTCTCCAGAGTCAAGACCCTTTTCATTCAAGTAACAATCAAACACAACAATGACTTGACCTCACATTTCACAACTTGCTATGTTCCTAAAGAAGATTCATCAAGATGTTTCTTCTTTTTATATTAAGTAACAACTTAAAAAAAAAAAAAAAAAAAGAACACAGCACACGATGAAATCAAAAGCTCAAAAGAATAAGGATGTAGTAGAGAGAGAGTTGATAATGCAATAAAAATATTCATCGCAACTAAAACATGGAACAAATAAAAAGAACGACAAAAAATCAAAAACCCACTTCTAGGATTCAACAACTTGAAGATGCCACATTAAGTACCAAGAACTAAAACCCAAAAAAGGGATAAAATTTTAGCTTCTTAGATCTCAAGAGTCAAAACCCTTTTCATTCAATTAATAAACAAACACCACAACTCACAACTGGCTATATTCCTAAGGAAGAAAGCGCTTTAACCCGGACGTCATAAACTTTGTTTTGTTTACACAGCACAGCATATGATGAAATTAAAAGCTCAAATGAACCAAAGAGAGAGAGAGTTGATACCTGAATAGAGGAGCTCCCAATTACCAGCAAGAGTGACGAAAGAATGAAAAATAAAAAAAAAACGACTGGACTGGAGTGGACTGGGACAGAACCGAAAGCTAGGATCAAAAGCCAATACTGACCTTTGATTGTAGCCAATAGTTGTTACTATGTTTTGTTAAGGACCTGTTTGGATGCAAAGAACTCTACATCCCAGTAAAGTATGGATTTATCTCATTTAAAATTCTCTCCCGGAGATATATTCTTCTTGATTCAAATGTATGGATTGATTAAAATATAAATAAGTCTTATTAATTTTATTTTTAATTAAACTTTTTTTTATAATTATTAAAAGAAAATTATTGTTTGATTATCATAAAATTTAAACACCTCTCTTATCAATAAAATTCATTAGAAACGTTTCTTTAAGGAAGTTCATCACCCAATTGACCAATTCTAACTAAGCACATTTATAAATTTTATTTGACAAGGGGTAAATTTTATGAAAACTACTTAAAATTTAGCCAATTTTGTTTTTGGTTGAATAGCATTTTGACCCCAATCTATCCAGAAAGAACAAATTTTTCCCTTAGTTTTGGAAACATCCAATGGTACAACATAATAATTATACAACAGTAATTGAGGATAATTTAGGTGTTAACACATTAAACATTAGATTAAAATCATCATGTGATTGATGGAATTATACAACAATAATTGATTAACATTAAATCATTTGAGATATCCAAATCAAATTAAAAACATATTATAATTTGGCATTATTCGGTTTCCAAGAGGTCAGTGAGATTCTTCAATCCTCATAATGCCAACTTTGCTGGCTCCTTGGGATCTTAACGAAGAACAGCTGCTCTTTGGCTTTGTTAAATTACACCTGCAAACATTTACACCTTTTTCTATCTTTGATCCATAAGGTTTTTCTTTTTTTTTTTAATTTTCCCTCTTTTAAAATCATACATAAATTATCAATAATTATGGTATAATGATAATGGATATTTGTATAAGTTGACGGGGTAAACTAAAGTATCATGAATTTTGATTGAAGTATCAAAAGAATAATACATACTTTTACAAAGTGTATATACAAAATCCAATATGTCGTGCCACATTACAATTGTGTCAGTGAAAATGTAAATTCAACTCATCGAATGAAGATAAATGATATGTGCCACATCACTTTGTATACAAACTTTATATGTGTAGTACTACTATTAGCAAAATTACATACAGGTAATTCAAGGTAAATAATTAGTGTGCACAAACTTTTTATTCATGAATTAGAATGTTCCATGGAACCCAAAAATTATATTTAAACTTAAAAATTAAAAATTAAAAAATAAAAGACCAAAGAGAAAAGTGAGAAATACACAATTAGCAAACCATTAGTTATTTATGTATTTCTCCTATTGTCTTTTCCGGAGCATATTTACTAACTGGAGACCTGCATTCAACGGTCAAAAAATGGCATTCATCAATGTACAGAACGTAAACTAAATTATTGTCAGCAGAAAACAGTTAAATATAAAGTTAGCCCACTTCCCTTGTTCGGCAAAGGATCATCCAGATCTTCTGTCGTCTCCATTTCATGAGCTCCAGGACTTCTTTTGGCATTTCTTCAACATTGTCTTGAAGAAACTTTGCCGATTCTAATGTTGCATTTAGCCTTGTTTTTAGTGCCTCCTACAAGTTAAGATTATAATAAACTCTCCTAGATAGCATTTCAGAGAAAAAAGTTAAAGGACATATAATACAAACACTCTCCTATGCAATCAACACTACTGCATAAGACTTGAATTCATCCTCCTACTGGCGGATTTTCATAGCGTACTACTCCTTCTAAGCTTATATATCACTTAGTTTATGATGTTCCAGTGTTAAGGTTTTCGCTATTTCCATGTACACTAATGGTCATGACCCAAATATATATACACTATGCCTAGACAACAAAAAGAAAAAAGAACAGCAATGAAGTTGATATCAGTATGATGATAAAAAATGGAGAAAGAGAAAAGCCTGTAATCAAATGATTCTGCATTGCTCATCATGTTATAATCGTCTTTCAAGCTAGACGGCTGTCAGCAAATAAACCATTTGAATCTTTCTTGGAAGGTGGCTCAAAAATCTCCCAGAAGCAAAGGGTCTCATCTGCCCCAGCTGACACCACAGTCAGGCCATCAGGGCTCCGCAAAACATCGATTTAAGGAACTCAGCTTCATTTATTTAAGAATACAATTTACTGGGTTCTAAACTAAAGTTTTTCAGATAGTCGAACCTGGGAAAGCTCAAGCACTCTAGAACTTTGCTGCTTTAACTCCCCAACTTTAGTCATGGAAGGGTACTTCCACACACATACCTTGTTTTCATTCCCACTGTTACTCAAGCCATGGCCACTCAGTATATCTTTGTGATGCATGTTCCACTCTAGTCCACATATCTGCACATGTAATAAGGAGAAAACCAATAACTGCACAAGTATGGATGGCCAATATGACATGGAACTGTTGTCTAAGAAGAGGAATATGGCCAATTCAACAAAAATATTATCATAAATGAAATGTCTCTTAGTAGAACACAAATAAATTCTAGTTTTTGATCTATGGAAAACTCATGAGAAGTATAACTGGATGGTGCAATAGTTTTTGCTAATGGATGACTGCTTCAGCGACCAAAAAAATTTTAATCATAAATTGAAATGTCTTTTATTAGAACAAAAATAAATTTAGTGCATATAGAAAACTCGTAAGAAAGAGTGGATTATTACACACGCCTGTGCTCCAGTGTCACAGCTGAACTATGTCCCCTTCTGAAAATTCCATATCTTAATACGTCCATCCTCTGTGCCTCCTCCAGAGGCAAGTACATTAGATTGATAAGGGCACCAAGCCAGGGCCTTGACTGCATCCCGATGTTCATTAATTCAGTACAAGAATTTGGTTGCACTCATTTTGGAACGCTCCCATATGCATATGAGATTATTATTCCCACTGCCTGCCAATAGATTGCCCTCAGTAGACCATTTCAGTCCGCATATTCTTTAGTGTGTGCCTTTTTTATGCAATAAGTGACACTGTTTCGCACTCTAACTGCAAATAACAGCATAGTAAAAATATAAAACTCAGCAACTAGAATACCTAAAGATGCAACAAACATAGACGTCCGTGAAATTCAGGTACCATCATGATTGATAATGGAATTCTCAAACCCTGCTGATGTTAAAATGTGACCACTCCGGAGGTTCCATGATAGAGTTGTTACTTTTCCGTGGTGACCATCAGGCCTCCTAACCTGCATTCGGAAACAACACTTATGATCAAAACAAACACATTAAGAGTCAGAGAACCAAGCAATAGATGATGAAATTTGCTCACAAGTTTCGAAGCCTGAGCATCCCATAGCTGAAGTTTGGAGTCAACATATCCAACGGCGAGAATTGCAACATTGCAGGGGTGAGACCAGGCTACACTTGTGGGATAATCATTGTCCCCAAGTGATTCCAACAACAATTCTACCTCACCATTTTCTGATTTCCAGAGATACGACTCAGAAGTCAGAACCCAAAACAATGCAAGAGTGTTATTTTTCCCCAATCCATAATTTTCGTATTAGAATTATCCCTAATATTAGGTGCATCAAGAATTTTAAATTCACTCTGCAAACATAAATCAATTTCATTCAGCACACACCCAAATGCTCCTTACAAATGAATTTACAATTAAAAATGCATTCTTTTTTTATTACCTTCGGCATAAGTTGAGGTCTAGTAATAGTGCGTTGCTCTGTGAAGAAGGGGAAAGGGTCTCCCTGCCAGAAGACTCAATTTAAATTAAAACAAAAAAATCATATAAAAAAACATGGTTACATCAAGAAAAAAAAAATGTTTTTGAAGCATAAAGAACAATTTCTATGATTTACAGAATTACACAATATCTAACATTTACCCAAAATTTTGTATTGTTGATTCTGTGCATTCCCTGTAAAAATTTGTCAATCTCCCATCGTTTTTTTACTCTGTTGATTCCCCTTAAAATGTCGTCCATTTCAGCGCAGAGAATGATCGGAAAGCGAAGTAGCAGAGAAAGAGAAGAAAGAAAAGAGCGAGGGGAAGAAGAAGCAAGAGAAAGGGAAAGCAGAGGGGCAGAGAAGAGAAGGAGAAGAAAAGATAGAGAACGGGAAACGAAGTAGAAGCAGAAGAAGAGGAGAAGAGAATGGAAAATTGAATTTTGAAGAGAGCCGGTTGGTACATTATTATAACGTTGTTCCATTTCCGACCCCTGGGAGATTAGGGAATTTAAAAGGACCCCGTATTTTTTCAGAAGTATTAAAACAAACCCTGGAAAAGGAGTTGACGTTAACACACGCCGTTACAGGGAGTCAACAGTAGTCCATTGAATCCTTTTCAATGACCATTATACCCTTATAAACCATTTTAACTAACAAAATTACAACAAAGCCCTTAGATAAAATGACAAAGTTGCCCTTAAGTTTATGGAAAATGATAAGCTGTTTTTAATTCCAATTATATCATTGAATGCCTATTTTAGGCTTGGATAAGAGGATATATTATATTGTTTTTAAATGTAAGAAGAAGAAAGTGGCCTGAACGGCAAGAAGGAATTCTAAAATCTTCCGAATTGTAACTTTAAAAATATACAAGACTGCTTACATAATTTAAAAGGCTTAAAATTTTTCTGAATTGCTAAATCAAGTTCCTAATTGATTTGAGGAACTGAAAATTGCAGGATGCTAGCGGCTGCAACGTTGCCACTAGTGTTGGTACACGCGGTGGCATTTACTCCACCAGGCTTCATCACCATCAATTTTGTATGGTTTTTTGTAGGAGTGTTCAAAAGAACCGATTAGAACGAGAATTGGGGAGTACGCAGGGTTTGATTTCAGTTTCGGTTCTTACCCAAAACCAATCATCGACGAGTAGGTTTCGGTTCCAGTTTCTAACTATCGGAAACTGTGACTAATATAAAATAAAATTAAAGAGTAAGGGGTTAATAAAAACTTTTGTAGAAAAAGTAATGTGAATACATTTATATTTATATTTCACAACATTTAAGTTGGTTTGACTTTTGAGAATCTACATTTACAAAGTAATGGAGTTTGTAATTTTGAATTTATAATTTGTAATTTTATTTTTGTTAACAAGTGCCAGAGGGTATTTGTAAGTTTTTAAGGGTTTTTTTTTGCCATTTTAAAACTTTTGGGAGTCCTTGAATTTTACAAGTACCCAGAACTGGAACCGAAACCGTTGTTATAGGTTGCAGTTGCGGTTGCGGTTCTGATTCCGGTTCTAGCTCCGGTTCCAGTTCTGGTTTCAGTTCCGATTTTGGTTTCGGTTCTGGTTCCGGTTCTGGTTCCGGTTCCAGTTCCTTCAAAAAATGCAGGGTACCCGAAACTGAACACTCCTAGTTTTTTGGGTTGTAGAACGATTGGGCTTGGAGTTTTGAGCAATAACAAACCTAGACAATTACCTGAGTAGAGGTATGAATATTTAAAAAAATTAAAAAATAAATATTTATTATATTTTTCTCCAATATACTAAAAAATGTCCTTAATATAGTATTCTTATTTAAAAACATATTTCATAGTTTCATTATATCATAATTTTTAGGCTTTTTATTTTGATTTAATAATAATTTGAATCAATACTATTATTATAAGTTACTAATATTGTATATTAAGATTCAATTTTTTCTTCTCAATCTTAATATACGAAACAAGAAAACAAAAATAGAGATATAATATTTACTTTTTTTTTTTTAATTGGTATTTATTGATAAACTTTACTTGGATTGAAATTATTTTATAGAAAAAACATTTTCTTATTATAATGATTTGTGGGGTGAAAGGAAACTATATTACATTGTAGTGCTTTTTAAAATCTTTTTATACAACAATAAAAATTGGCTCACAACCTAATCTCATAAACTCTTTCTTCTAATTCCGATGTGACAGCTCGCAATTGGTCGAACGGAAAAATTCATCAGGAACCAATTGCGAGCTACCACATCAGGGTTGTAAAAGAAAGTTTGTGATATTAAATTGTAAGTAAAATATTGCCCTTTATATAATAAGGTTTTGAAGACAAGTTAGAGCTCATTTGGGTTATCAGACCCCACTAGGTAAGGGTGTTTAAACAAAATACAAAAACTGAACCAAACTGTGAACTGATAACCGAACCAAAAAACTGATTAACCGAAAAAACGGTTCGGTTATGGTTCAAAAAATTCAAAGAACTGGATTTTTGGTTTGGTTACCGATGTTTGGGGAAAACTAAAAAAGGGTTAACCGAAACCGGTTTTTTGAACCAGTTTTACAAATATATATATATAAAATAAATAAAAATAAAAATATATATTATATATTAAATAAAAAATAATTTCATTTCAGACTTTTATTTGTATCAATTTTTAATGTATTATTAGTAGTGGTCAATGGATATGTATAAATGTTTAATTTTTATTTGGATATGTATTGTTTATATTTACAATGTAATTCAGGAAAAAATTAAAAAAAAAAGTTTTATAAAAAAAAGGGAAAACCAGTTTTTCCTCCAAACCGGTTCAGTTTCAGTTCTGGCATTTTTCCGAACCGAAAAATCAATTCAATTAAAAAAAAGGTTAACTGGTTCAGTTAACTGTTTTTTGAAAACCCTTACCACCAGGTCCAACATAGAGTCATCCATGCCTGTGCGGATAGCACTTGGGTGTCACAGTCAACAGCCAATCGACGCTTAAGCACTCAAACTCATAATTGTACCTGGGTGTTGCAACCTCTTAACACAATTAATGAAGAGAAAGAGCTTCAAGATTTTATATCTGAAATTTTAAAACGAAATGGGTGAAGGAAGACGAAGAAGAGAGACGGGCAAGAAAGGAAGAAAGAGAGGTTTTTTTTTTAAATTTAACTCTTTCAAAATTGTAAAAAGACTATAGTATCCTTTGATTGAATGATGCAGATATTTCTATCAATCATTTTACCTAAATGCCCTCGCCTCTTTTGACTTTATTGACTTTCATTAACAGCGCCTTGACGGAAAGTGATTTTTAGAGGTTTTTCTAATACTTTACGAAAAGTAGAAAACCGTGGGGCCGCTCAAATTTCCTTATCTCTCAGGCAGAAACCCTAATGTTGGCGGCTCCCGTTAGCCCCCTTAGACTTCAAAAAGTGACAACTAAACCCATAGTTAGTTATATTAGATTATTAGCCCCTTAGACTTCCGAAACCGACAACAAAACCTAGGAATAGCGGTAGCCCCTTACACTTCCGAAACTGACAATTAAACCCAGGTAAACTCTGTCAGCCCCTTATACTTTCGAAACTGACAACGAAACCCAGGTAAACTCTATGCAGCCCCTTATACTTCCGAAACTGACAACGAAACCCAGGTAAACTCATTTAGCCCCTTATACTTCCGAAACTAACACAAAATCCGGGTAAACTCTACTCCCCTTATACTTCCGAAACTAACAACAAAACCCAGATAAACTCTTGCAGCCCCTTACACTTCCGAAACTAACAACGAAACCTATGTAAAGTTCATTTAGCCCCTTATACTTCCGAACTAACACCGACATCCCAATTATTCGACAGATTCATTTACATGACTCATGGCATGCTATCTAATTGGTCTACAGCTCACTAGATACATAAATTTACCAATAAATCCATTGAATCTAAGTTCTAACCACTCCTCTGACAAATCACTCCCTCAAAACTCATGAAAAGCAACCTCAAATCGAAGGCCATCTTGGTAATTTCATCCATCCACATTATAAATCCGTCGTTTCCCACCTCCGCCACTCCCCGAATCGCCGAGCACCAAACAAAAATTAAAAAATAATTTATTTATTTTCAATTAATTGAAATCAGTGTGAGAACGAGGGCGAGAGAAACAGAGAGAACTGACAATGCGAGAATGGCTCAGTACAGACAATCGGGCCATCATAGCTACAACAACTCCAACGGCACGTCGTCCGGCGACCACGTGTCCATCGGCATCCGTACTACGACGTCTCACGGCAAACTGTCTCGCCCTCGCCGATCGGCACGCTCTGACAAGGCCGGTCTCCGCCTCTCCGTCGCCTCAATCTCCGTCTTCCTCTCCCTCGTACTCCTTGTCACTCTCTTAGCCTATTTTTACATCTCTGGATATAATACTGTTGTTCATACTGATGATAAAGGTATTATTTTATTATTAGTAATGTTACTATTTTTGTTTCTTTTAATTTCTCTGTTTTTTATATAAAGTCAGTTGTTTTTGGTTCTGGATTTGATTAATTTCACTTTGAGATGTGGAGTGATGTGATTATTTTAAAGTTATGATGTGTGTTCTAGTTCGGTTGCTTGGAAAGGGTTGGAAAAAGGATAAGAAAGTAGTTGAATAAAAGAATGAGAGTTTAATTGGAGTAAGGAAAGTCGTTGATTAGTGCAAGTTGAAATTTACGAGTTTTGAAGTAACGTTTAAAGCCAAAACAACTTAGAAAATTCAAATTCAGATCAACATGATCATATTTACTGAAGTTTTTGGTTCATATTTTGGACTTATTATAGCTAGATTGCCTGTCTTGAAGAATTCATGTTTAATTCGTTTTGAATTTTGAAATGTTGAAGGGGGTTGGGGCTTTTTCTTAGATTGCTGAATAAGTTTTTTTTCTTTCTTTGGCTCAGACATGAATAGTTACAATACTGTGGATGGTGAGTTGATGAATGAGCTTGATTTTCTTACGAATGTGACACGGAGGGACACTTTTAAAGTTCTTGGATTTGGCAAGGGCTCAGTAACACATGGAAGAGATTCAAGATATTGGGATACGGATGATAGGAGAAGGGATGATGATTACAACGAGGATGAAGTGGAACGTTCTAGCATGGCTGCAAAGGGTGGAAGTAATAATATGGGCCATATTCCTGTGAAAGTGGACAATGGCAACAAGAAGATTTCTCATGATGATCCGCAGAAGGGTTTAGAAGGGAAAGGAGTTGGTTTGTATAACGAAGCTGGGCGTGATGAATTGAAAATGTATGAAGCAGAATATGAAGCATCCCTAAAGAATTTGGGCCAGTCAGGAAATGGAAATCAACAGTCTGAAGATAAAGATTTTCAGATGCAAAGTGACGCTATCGATGTTGATGATGAGTATGATAATATTGCCGATGGTACTCAAGTGGAATATGATGATTCTGGGCATAACAAAGGGGATGACTCAGATTTAGCAAAAATCCACGATCAGAATCATATGGACTCATCTGATAGTCATGATACTGGAATGCAGGATCAGGATTTTCCCAAGGAAGTTGAGGAAACCTCCAACAAATCATTTGCTGACTCTTCTATAAAATCTCGAAATTTAGGCAATTCTGATGCACATCATCGAGAGGCCAGTGTTACTGGTGGTAAATCCACCAGAAGTTCACGATCAGAACCAAAAAGAAAAAAACGCCGCAAATTTTCTGGTAATTTTTCTGTTCTGTTATGTATGTATTTCTGAATTTACCGTATTGCTATTTTAATTTTCTTTCTATCTATTTCCCCCTTTTCCCCTTCCTTTTCTAAAGGCATATCCTCTATAACTATAAAGGATGTGTAATGTATAACCTGGTTTTGTTTTTGAGATTCTGGATGGAACTAGGAAAACATATCTTCAGTTGTAATCTTAACATTGAGTTTATTGACATTACTCATAGAACCTTATGTGAATCCTAAAATTGCTACTAGGTAGAGGCAAGCCTTTGGACTAGTATAATCTGCAGTTGTAGAGCAGTTGTTACTGGTTCTGAAATGTCTTTTCACTTGTACTGTCAGTAGGTAACTGTGTTCTGTGGTTTCTACATAATAACTGACATCTTGACTTATTATCAGAGAATTCGTCCTTTCTTCATTCATCATAATTGAGAAGTGGTTGTTTTACGTATTAAGATGTGTTCTGGTTTATGCAATGAAACCGTGATTGGTAGTGTTTTAGTTTGGTATAATTTTCTACATGTTTTTCAAATTCGATGCTCGTGAAACATTATTGAGACAGATGCTGACAACCCCCAAAATGAATCTAGATCACCCCTCCTGAGATCTTGCATAGATCTTGAATTTGAAAACAAAAATTCGTGGTTTCTCTAGATTAGGCTCAAGAGGCCAAATTTCCTTAGTACTTCAATTTGAAAACGCTGTTCACTGTCAGAAAACAAAACTCATGTAATTTAATTGATAAGTGAGATTTTGTAAATTGGTGGATGTTTACCCAATCCAACAGTTGAACAGTTGAATTGCATAGCTTGAAAACTTATCCTGCTTTCGGTGTTTGGATCAAAAAATAATGATGAATCAGAGCTTCCTAATACTGGTGGTTGTCTCCATGTGTTTCAGTTGAATCTTTTGTTGTGCTGAGGTGTTGATTTAGAAAGCATACCATTGTTACATCCTAACATATCATCACAAAACATGCAATTTTAGTTTTTGCTTACTTTTGTAGTAGTGGTGTTTGGATGTTGTCTCTATGTTTCAATTTCTGCTCCTTGCCTGATATGTCATGTTTAAAATTTTCAGGGTCGTGTGAGATGAAGTTCTTAAATTCTACTACACAGCTTGTTGAGCCTTTAGAAAGTCGAAAATTTGCAAGATTTTTCTTGCAATATACTGAAGTGGAGGAGAAGCCTGATGGAGTCGCAGAGTGGGAGCCTAGATTTGCTGGGCATCAGAGTTTACAAGAGCGGGAAGAATCATTTTTAGCTCATGACCAAAAAATAAATTGTGGCTTTGTTAAAGGTCCTGAAGGTTCTCCAAGTACTGGATTTGACTTGTCAGAAGATGATGCAAATTATATGAGTAAATGCCACATTGCTGTTGTCTCATGCATTTTTGGAAATTCAGATCGCTTGAGGGTACCTGCTGGTAAAATGGTATGAATAGACAAGCTTTTTCTTTCTATTTGCATTGCTTTATTCTGAGCAATATTTTTTCTGAGAATAAAACAGGTATAAAAAATATCAAATTTTGTATAACTTTTGGATTATGGGGTTATGAAAATAACGTGGAAGAACTTCTATGCCTCTATGCTTATTGATTATTTTTTATTTTGTTAATCGGACTTGTGTTCTGAAAATTTTTAATCATATCTTTCATAGTTTTATATTTTTCAACTTTTGGGAACTTGGTAAGCATGAATCATTAATTAGATGCTTTTATAACAAATTCTTATAAATCATGCACAGACTAATTTTACTTTCTATAAAATCATCTTGTAATGTTATTATGAGCACATTGAAACTTCTTTGAGTGAGTTGTTATTCACATTACAGAATAGCTTTTGTATGGACATATGATTTTGGTTACGGATGGATATGCATTATAATTATTTGTATTTGGATCCCATCTAGCACCAATTGCATTCTTACCGAGTATAGGTATCTGTATTTTATATGTTGTGTTGTATAACATCATGTCTATTCTATTTACATAATGCATTTTAATTTGTAAGACAACATTTACAGCTTTCTCATATCTTGATTTTAACTGAGCTTCCTATCTATTAGTGTATCATTTCTTTTCTTATAAAAAAAAAATATATTTTTTGACTAAGGAACTGTCAATTGTTCCTCTGTTTGCCTTAATTTTAAATGTTCATAAAGGGATTATGAGAAATGGCATGAAATAACTGTGAGGTCATCGGTCAAATGCCCATCTTGTTTCCTTAATTAAGTATTTTGTGATGAAGGGTCTGAATGATAGTCATTAGTGAAATCCTGAATGCAAAGTTTAGGCTTGAGATATGTATCAGTGCAGCAATAGGTTTCACTACCTCCACAAAAATCAGCAGGAGGTCTTGTTTGACATCAACCATTTTTTCTAAGTTATTGACTTTTTCCGGTAAGGTTGGGTCCTCTTGATCAATTGCATGTTATCACAGTTTCTAAAGTCTAGTTGAATCGGTCATAAATCCTTTCTTAATGGGTTACATCAGTCCAAACTCATTGAGAAAATTTGCATAGACAATGGAGAATTGTTTGCAAGAAGATGGTGCTGACAGTATACTATGGGTTGAGGTTATGTGGGGTTTGGAGGCAGTTTCTTTCATCAGAAAGTTAAGTTCTCTCAAATGAAGAAATGTGACTGCTGCAGGGAGAGGAGAGCAGGTGTAGTGGAAAAACGAGAGCCAGTGAACTGAGAAGAACTGAAATAATTGTATATATATATAGTGATTCTCTGGTGTGGATATCTGGAATTTCACGTAAATCCATAATTTAAATGTCACCTGTACGGATTTTGAATGAAACTTCAGAAGTCTCCGCTACCTTATTTGTTTACTCCACGATTAAGCTGTTGTTTTGAATATTCAACTTGTATTTTGTTGGTTGGACTTCGTTCTTCACCTGTTTATTTTCTAGATATCAATCATAATGCCTAGATTAAGTGCTTTTGCTGCTTTTTGCTTTTGAATGGTCTTGAGAGTCGAGTGTATGTGGTCATTTTGAATGCCAATTTATATCTATGAGGTTTATCTAATGTGATTTTAAAATGTAGATAGGGTCTCAATGAGTTTTCACTTCTTTGCAGGTCACTCGTTTGTCAAGGAAAAATGTTTGCTTTGTTATGTTCATGGATGCGCTGACTTTGCAAACACTTATTGCAGAAGGTCAGATACCAGATAGAACAGGTTTGATTGGTTTATGGAGGATAGTTGTTGTGCAGAATCTTCCTTATACTGATATGCGTAGAGTGGGAAAAATACCAAAACTGTTGTCACATCGACTATTTCCTTCTGCAAGGTGAGAATTAGAATAAGCAGGATACAGAATTGCTTATATTATATTGCAGTTAATCAGTTAGAAATGGGCCTGTCCTGCATTTGTTTTGGAGTGTGTTTCTTTTTCCTTGTGACAAAATTTATTTGTTTTCTCACTATACAAAGTGAGTAGGTTTATGGGGCGGTATCACTATAGGCTTATTTTTTTTATTTTTTATTTTTATTGTTAAGAAGCTGCAAACTTTTATCAAGTAAAAAGATGAGAAGATGTAGTTGTGGACCTATTTTCCACAAAGAATCAAAAACTCAAGGTGATGGAAAAAAGATTTGTATGCATACTGCAGTGAATAATTATCCCTTGAACCGAAAAGTATACAAATTAACTCAAAACCCTAGTGATAATTAGAATAGTGAATGCTGTTACGATTAGAGCTTAAATACTATTGTTGGGTATTTATTAGCTAAAGTTTATTTGTCAACGTATTAGAGATAAGTCGTCCGGGTGGTCTTGTATTCAAATTAACCTATTGCATAATTAAATTATAATATTTTGTGTTTGTGTTCGATCACTGTGCCTTTTATTTAAGCAGTGTACTAGAGCTTAAATGCTATTTTTGGGTTCAATATATTAGCTTAAGCTTCTGGTCAAATGGTTACTTACATGTTAGAATTTAGTATTTGTTTTAAATCCATAAATATATCTTGGTATCTGGAGACTTTGGACACATTTAGTAGGTAGACAGGACTAAGTCACACACGTCTTGCTAGCTGTTTTTAATGTAATTAATAAAATATTGGTTGGAAAACTACTTGCTTATGAAAATATTTCAGGTCTTTGAACCATACTGCTGTACAATTGATGTTAACTATCAAATATTAGTTTCAGTTAGGTATTTGCATATTCAGGTATTCTCAAAAGTCATTAACCAAACAAAGCGAGTGCGGGTTGAAGATACCTGATTTATGGATTTTGTATGGTAGAATGGTGTAATCCCGACAGAATGAAGGGCTAAAAAGAAAATAGGAAAGTGGAAAAACACCATAATACTTTGCTTGTTTAATCATTTTGTCACTGCAAGTGTCATGTAGTAATTTGTCATGAACTGCAATCGTTTAACACTTTAATTTTCTGAGTTATGTTATATAGAGGCGCATTTTCTTAATGCATTATTCAGCTTATGATATGACTTTTTCATGGGATTACATTCCTGCCAATTAGGAGGTTATTGCATTTGAAAATTCAGTCTGTTTTTTTCTAACTTCCAACATATGAAATTTTCTCAGATATTCAATTTGGCTGGATAGCAAATTACGTCTTCAACTTGACCCTTTACTCATCTTGGAATATTTCTTGTGGCGAAAGGGTTATGAGTATGCCATTTCTAATCACTATGATCGGCATTGTGTATGGGAAGAAGTCGCACAAAACAAGAAGTTGAACAAGTATAACCATACAATCATTGACCAACAATTTGCGTTCTACCAGGATGATGGGTTGAAAAGATTCGATGCCTCAGATCCTAACAAGCTTCTTCCTAGCAGTATGATCCTGTTCAACCATATACATATATATGTGTAGTGATACTCTTGCTTGACCAAGTTGTAGCGAGCTTGAATCTTGCAACCCCTCTTTACAGCAATGTTGTTTTTCCCCCTTTTTTTCTTTTTCATTATTATTATTTTTAATGTGGAGATTTACTTTGTGCTGTCTGCAGATGTTCCTGAGGGATCTTTCATTGTAAGAGCACACACTCCAATGTCAAATTTGTTCTCATGTCTTTGGTTCAATGAGGTTGATCGGTTTACTCCTCGCGATCAGCTAAGCTTTGCTTATACATACCAGAAATTGCGAAGAACAAATCCTGGCAAAATGTTTTATCTTAATATGTTCAAGGTATAGAGTCTAATTGAAATTCATCTCTGTTTTACTGTTTAAATGAGTGACAATCGATGCAGGAGTGAAAAACTCAAATTTGACTAGCTGTTAAGAGTTTTCTTCTTGAGGAATATTTGAAAAGAGGGAAGGAAATTTGGATTTTAGATTTACAGCGCTTTGCTTCCATGCATTGCAGGATTGTGAGAGGAGAAGCATTGCTAAGCTGTTCCGACACAGAGCAGAGGAGAAGCGGTATAGTCATCAACATGCAGCTACGTAAATGTTTTGCTATATTGAACATTTCACCAGAAGCTGATTTATATATTGTGATTGGATGCACTTATCCAGTGCCTTGTGAAGTTATGTACTATTCCCTCAACGTGTTGTACAAGTGGTGGTGGCTTCCGATACAATACCACATCTTCTGCAGCTTTGATTTGAAGAAAGTCTGCTGGATCTAAAACAATTTCTACAGTGAATACTACAGGTGAGTTCTCCACTTCTGCAGCCCTCTCACGATCAATGCAGAAAAGAAAATTCATACACCCATTTATCCAATTCATTTTAAATTCATTACTTCCGACTAGCGGGAACCAGAGCATTCGATAAATTTTACTACTTCCACTACAAGTTGTATTCTTTGTTCCCTTCTTGATTGGTTGTCGATCTTTTGTTCGTAAAATTTTGATGGCTTATTCAGGCTTGTATGATATATGGGTAATTTGTTTAGTGATGCCACAAATTCAAGATTTTACCTGATGTTGTCCATATTTTGCATCGTTAAATTGGTGCTTCTTGTGGAATACTGAAATATGTTTGATTTAAGTGAACTTTACAGGAGTACAATTAATCAAGTGCTCCTTTTTCTGGATNTTGGGTCATACATTCAAAAAGTTTTTAGTGTTTGTATGGAACTATATTCAAATTAATTGACAGAGGGAGGCAATCAGTGGAGGGAGAAATTTTGATTGATAGAGAGGAGTCTATAACTTAGATTTGGATTAAAACTTCGGTTATACATTGAAAAAGTTTTGAGTTTTTGTATTGAAACATAAGAAACTTTATTTAAATTAATTGACAAAAGGAGACAATCAGTGTGGGGGAAGAGATTCAAATTAATAGAGATGAGTCTATAACTTTGATTTGGATAGAGAACAGCCTATAGCTTTGACTACAAACTTAAAACTATGTAATGAAGTTACTGTAATGGAGTTGCCGTAAAGAGGAGAAGGGTAATTCAAGTGTCATTTGTTTATATATATATATATATATATATTTATTTCCAGCCATGGCTTCATAAACTCCAGATTCCGCCTTAAATAAACATAAAATCGTCTAGTGAAACGGTCAAAGGGTATTTAGGTCTTTTTATCAAAAAAACTCAAATCTCTCACTCCCCAGTTTCGTAAAATTTTGAAATAACCCTCCACATCTCAAATTTTTTCTCTCAACTACCGGGCTTTCAGCCAGTCATTGTTGCCGTTTCTGGCGACAACTCACTGCCCCCAGGCCTTATTTTGAATCCTCAGCCAGCCTCTTGCCACTGTCGGCGTCCTTGCGGCACAACCACCACCCAACCGCAGCTTTTTGCTCCCGCGCGACAGCCTCCTCCCAGCCGTTGCTCGGCTGTTTCCGACGGCAATCGAACCACCCAACAGCACCATCACCTTCACCTCAACTTTCCGGCCAAAACCCTCACCGCAAACGACCTCGCCGACCACCAGATCTCTGCGAACGACCACCAGACCTCTGTCGTTCGCACACGCCTGTCACACCTCTTGACAGGCGCGACGTGTATCGACCCACCGCCGCCCATTTTCTCCCATCCTGGGCCACCATCATTCACCACTGCTGTTGTTTTGCCTTGTTGAGTGTAAACCGGTCGCCGGAAAACCACCCTTTAACACAACCTTACCACTCACGACTCGCCCACTAAGTGTTCGAAGAAACCTCTCCAACCTTGCACACAGCACACCAGCGCCCAACAGCCGCGCGCGCCTGTCCCCCCCACCCTCCGCCCCGCGCCCGCGCGCATAGGTGGGAAAAGCTGTCTACCCTTTTCCAAGTGATATTTGTGCCAAAGCAAAAGGTCAAATTAGGCGTAGGTAAATCTTTACCAAATTAATTTTAATATACATAAATAAATTATGAATTGGGAATTCCCAAAACTCTCCATGAGAAATTTGGATCGATAGAGAGAAGTCTATAACTTTGATTCGGAGGAACACTAGTAAATAATCTTGATAAGTATTTGATTAAAAAAAAAAAAAAAAAAAACGTAGTGGATTGACTTGATTTTCTGTTTATTGAGTAATTAAAAGGTAAATGGTAATTCAAGTCAATCCAATAGTTATTACTTACTTAAACATATGATAAATTTAAAATATGAAAAAAAATTCTTTCCCTTAAATATAGTAAAATTCTATTAATTCTAAAAGCTGTGACAAATTCTTTTTAGGGGTTATTAAATTAAGTTTTGACAAAAAAAGAAAAAGGAAATATAAAATATTTGTGAAGATTAATTCAGTAAAAACTAGCGGATTGACTTGAAGTTGTGTCCAGACACTTCAAGTCAATCCAGTAGTTATTACTGATTAAGCAAGTCCAATAGCCATTACTTACTTACACCACACTTCAACAAAAGAGTTATCTGTCATTATCTGTAATTTATTGTATATGAATTTCAAAATATTTGTGTGAATATTATAGTAAAATTTATTAATTCTGCAATTCATGAGACACCCTTTTTTTTCCTAAGTTTTGTCAGGATCATTATGAATATTTCTAAAATTTTGTTAAACAAATACACCTGTTTTGAGAGTTTAGTGAATTTGCAAAAACTAATGCTAAATTATAATAAAGTTGGATTTTAATTAATTATATGCCCCATTTCTTAAAATATTATGATTTATCATGTATAAATAATAATATGAGGCAAGAATTAAGGACGTCTCATCTAACGCCGGATTGATAGGAGAAAATTAATTTGTTTTATTTATTGGAGAAATTTTCCACATTGTGGTATTGACTCTGTGGAGCTTTGAAAGTGATAGCACTACAAATGAATTATACCTCTTCATTTTATTTATTTAAAATAAAACCAACTACAAATTTTATAAGCCTGTTTGTCCCACGCCATATCAATATATATATCTCACATTACTTGCAATTTAATTCGCTGAATTTTGAAAATGAAACCTCGTTGATTAAACCTCGTTATTTCCCATTTTATAAAACATATTAATTCAATTAATTGTTTTTAACGTAAAAGTATTTTGTAATTCGAAGTATGAAAAATGAGGGTGTTTATCATTATACATCTATAAAATCAACTTGAGAAATAAATATGATTTTAAAAGCTGTTCTAGTAGCTAGAACAGCTTTTAAAAATCCTTTAATGTCAATAATCACTAGCTAAAATTAGTTGATCCTAACTTGAAAATAAAGTTATTAATGTCTATTTTACATCATGCAACAAGGACAACGGAAAACATATTATTTTAAACTAAAATGTGAGAAATATTTTCAATTAAGAAAAAGTACCTTTCACTTATTAAACTTTTGTTAAATCCCAAGTAAATAATTATTGAGAAATAGTAAGAGTTAACAATTTTTTTTTTTCCACCCAAGTAACGGTTTGATGACATATTCTCACTCACAGACTTTTAAAATACTATTTTATTATCCAAATTTGTATTCCAACACTAAACAAAGAGCAAACTCGGTCCAGACTATTAAGCCTTTTAAAGAGGGGAGACTGATGAATATTTTGATAGTGAAATATTAGATTTTGGAGGTTGAAATTGATCAGAATTTGACTTGGAAGAGGCAATTGCATAAACTTTAATAGCTCGATTGTTGGTGATTCATGTGGTCGATAAGAGTAAGATTTGAAGGTTTTTTATGAGTGATGATCAGAGAAGAGAATGATGGTGGTGTGAAGTTATAACGATGCCGGAATTAGAAACATAATATAAATTTGGGTAGTAAAATGGTATTTTAAAAGTTTGTGGGTGGAAAAGTGTCATTAAACCATTAATTGGGTGGAAAATAGTCGTTTACTCAAATAATAAATCATGTCTTGTTAAGTTCCAAAATCGATTGAAATTTATTAAAACTTTCACACACCTTAATTAAATCACGCCTTCCATGAGATCATCAAATTTATTCTTTTAGATTATAATATTGTGGAATTATATAACAAAATATTAATAACAATTAAACAATGATAAACCTTGTACAATATTTTAATGCTACCTAGTGTTGTAGCAAAAATGAGCTGTAACATAGAATATTAGGCTTATAATACGTTGTAAATTGTCATTGTAATGTCACAAATTGCAGGTTAACTACAAATACCTAGTGGGTAGGGTTGTATTTGAATAATTTTTAATATAAAGAATATAATATATGTTTTGATTCTGATTTGGCCTCAGATTCTCCTAATCCAGTTTAGTCCAAATTCAACCGCACCACATTTTGCAGCGATGCCACCAAATTAATTTGAGGAGGCTAAAGTGTAAAGTTTAAAGAACAAGAGGGATTACAGTGATTAATCAAATATAAGAAGTTGCACTTATGGTTATGGAGGGCTAAAGTGTAAAAGTCAATGAATAATGAGGGCCGAAGAAAAAACGAAATTTTAGGGATGAAATTCAGAAAACATAGAAGAAAAGTGACAAATGACGAGATAAAAAAGGGTCTTTTAGCATATGTGATAGTGGAATAGGTGGGAAAAGTCTGTCCTACCCTTTTCCAAGTGATATTTTGTGCCAAAAGCAAAAGGTCAAATTAGGCGTAGGTAAATCTTTACCAAATTAATTTTAATATACATTAAATAAATTATGAATTGGGAATTCCCCAAAACTCTCCATGAGAAATTTGGATCGATAGAGAGAAGTCTATAACTTTGATTCGGATTTAACACTTGGGTCATACATTCAAAAAGTTTTTAGTGTTTGTATGGAACTATATTCAAATTAATTGACAAAGGGAGGCAATCAGTGGAGGGAGAAATTTTGATTGATAGAGAGGAGTCTATAACTTAGATTTGGATTAAAACTTTGGTTATACATTGAAAAAGTTTTGGGTTTTTGTATGGAAACATAAGAAACTTTATTTAAATTAATTGACAGAAGGAGACAATCAGTGTGGGGGAAGAGATTTAAATTGATAGAGATGAGTCTATAACTTTGATTTGGATAGAGAACAGCCTATAGCTTTGACTACAAACTTAAAACTATGTAATGAAGTTACTGTAATGGAGTTGCCGTAAAGAGGAGAAGGGTAATTCAAGTGTCATTTGTTTATATATATATATATATATATATTTATTTCCAGCCATGGCTTCATAAACTCCAGATTCCGCCTTAAATAAACATAAAATCGTCTAGTGAAACGGTCAAAGGGTATTTAGGTCTTTTTATCAAAAAAACTCAAATCTCTCACTCCCCAGTTTCGTAAAATTTTGAAATAACCCTCCACATCTCAAATTTTTTCTCTCAACTACCGGGCTTTCAGCCAGTCATTGTTGCCGTTTCTGGCGACAACTCACTGCCCCCAGGCCTTATTTTGAATCCTCAGCCAGCCTCTTGCCACTGTCGGCGTCCTTGCGGCACAACCACCACCCAACCGCAGCTTTTTGCTCCCGCGCGACAGCCTCCTCCCAGCCGTTGCTCGGCTGTTTCCGACGGCAATCGAACCACCCAACAGCACCATCACCTTCACCTCAACTTTCCGGCCAAAACCCTCACCGCAAACGACCTCGCCGACCACCAGATCTCTGCGAACGACCACCAGACCTCTGTCGTTCGCACACGCCTGTCACACCTCTTGACAGGCGCGACGTGTATCGACCCACCGCCGCCCATTTTCTCC